CTTGCAATAAGTTATTATCTTGTACACGGTTTCCATTCGCTCATACAATGGATAACATCCACTGGTATCGTTATGAATCGAGGATACATCGGCCAAGAAGGCCGCTTTTCTCGTGGGGCTTGTTGAACCATTGATTACGCTGATTCTCGAAGAAAGTTTGACTGGACGAGGAGAAACGGTCAGGTGCCGGGTAGGGTGTAACGGGGCAAACACTGTAATCTTGTATACTTGATTCTTACACTTTTGGTCTGGCCGTATTAACAGAATTTGGCAAAATTGTACAAACAAAATACATAACACTTGGTGTATTTGTGAACGTTCATAAGGACCGGAAGATGATAAGATTCCGAAACAAGGAATCCGTGGTAGGCTTGGGCTATTAGCCGCACGTTGAGCAATACACCCATTTCTATTATTAGTGATAGTATAACGCACATACATCGTATCATTCTAAATATGATGAATTCTGATTCATTTACTCTCGAAATAGCAGAACAAACCTAAAAGTCATATTAACCTTAGCTGATGTCATATTATCTCCTGGTAGGAACGCATGGGCTCCACCCCTGTGTGTTTGTAAACGTGGACTCTTACGGTCAACGATATCTCTGCGCAAAGTGTATGGCAGTCCCATTGCAAGAGATATCCGATGACCAAGCTGATCACCGCCGTTTATTTCTAGAAATTTCAGGACAAGTTATGAATCGATCCACCTAAAGCTGCCATGTCAAGCGACTTAATGTCCAGTAAGGACATGCGACAGGATATTCAGTAAGAGTGAACGATAGGATATGCCTAGAGGTATGAACTAGGTTGACGAACAAAGGACCATGCGATTCATTTGCATTTTGCCGTCAACTGATCATGTAACCTGTAGAACAACTATCACATGACTTATTTTTAAAAGACCACGAACATAATGGACTGCCAGCACTGCCAAAAGTAGCAGAATGGTCAAAAATGATAACGCACGCGGCCAGTGTTCCAAGCGCTGACACGGTTTAAGCATGCGCAGACATGTACTATCCCATTTATGCTTTCTAAACCATACATATAAAGCACTCGCCTAATATCACGCCTTTTCAGTTCCGAGGTAGTTACCCAAAAAAGTATCATGTATATCGAATAGCATTTCGCTGTTAAGCTGTACTACTACATGCTGAATGTCATGTTGGTCAGTGCTGCGATAGAGGAAGCTTTGAGTAACTATTCGCGATACAAAGTGTAATTGTTCGCTTGACAAGGCAAGACTTGTTTCTCCAAACTCCTTGCTTTCCAAAGCTCACAGTAGCACAACACATACTGCGTCTGACCCGCGTGCCGGACGAATTGCATTATCAGTCGGCGACGTCACCATCGCGATATGGGACGGCTCATATTTGGGGTGTCGTCAAAACGCACCCGCCACTATATTAAGAAGTCCCTACTTATACCGTATACTCAGCAAATAATGATACCTATCTAGCCCTTTTATGTGAGACAAGTAGTGACGACGTCACTATAAACAACGACGCAAGACGTCTATAGATTGCAAACTGCTTATAACCAATCAAGTGCATCTTAAGTGCAATATGTTGCCAGTAGTTCTTTGTCATGATCAGCTAAGTTTATATCATCCGCTTTAAGCGGACGAGATTTTGACGTGATAACGCGTTCATGCAAATCGTTATTAGCTTGGAGTAAAGTGTGCCTATGGCAAAGACCGAAGCATCAACGAAGTCATAGAATGGCTGTTCTGGTGCTCTTTTGGATGTCTATGGATGCTAATTCGTGTTGATCTTGCAGAGCTGATGCGGGGTCCTGAGAGCAGTGGGGGACGGTTCAATTTGCTTTCCACGCAACGCTCACGTTTGGGCTCTCCTGGCCATTTTATGCGTGACATGAGCTAATTTTGTCGACAGATTGTGAGTGATGTGGACTATGTTAATAATTTTAAGCCCGCAAACCATTTCAAGCACAAAGCTTTCGGGTATATTAACGGCTGCTTTGTTTTGACGGTCGGTGATATGAAGGCTGATATATTCACGATCCATACCACGCCATGATTTTGTTTGTAAAGATTATTGTCAAGATGTGGCCACACCATTGTGTGATTAAGATGAGTTTAAAGGCCAAAAAGTCCAAAGAGCAATTACTACTATAGATCGAAGTTTGGCGGGAACAGAAAAAAACGTTAGCAAAACCGAAAAAAAAACTATTTTATCTCTCACCGTTTTGTGTAACCCACATCTTTGTATATTGTGCCACCTATCCTTGATACCAAGGTAAATGTAACCCGGTTACAATGGAAGAGAAGAAACAAAACAACGTAAACCCAAATTATTTGCCATCCCTGATAAATACCCATACTTTGGTTCTTATGAATTACAATGTAAATCTCGTATTGTTGGTTTGATACAATTTTACTAAATGTGGGAGGGTTTCAATACTCACCTCCTCAAGTGTGGAATTGCGACACCACTGCTACTTTTGCTTGTTGTGCTCTGTTTTGTTGTTTTATGCTGCTGTAAAAAAATCATTCTTTCAACCAGCACCTGTATATTAGGGAATCGAACGATTGATTGACATTGCTACAGTGCAGTAGGTGAGAGAATGTTGTCTGGCAGTGTACCTCTAACATTTTATGCGGTTAATCAGATTTTGATTATCTTCATCACCATTCAAAATTGTCGGATAAATGTGGCTTCGACGCTCCCGACTTGCATCGGCGGCGCGCATTTGCTCGCCCCAACACTCGCATCATAGGAGAATCTTGCCGGTAATAGCGCATGCATTCTCTACAGACTACTCGGCCGTCACGGCTGAGAACATTCGGAACGTGGCCATCGTGGCGCATGTCGATCACGGTAAGACCACATTGGTTGACCAGCTACTTAAGCACGGCGGTACTCAGCTTTCTGAGGAGCGTGTAATGGATTCTATCGATCTCGAGCGCGAACGCGGCATCACAATTATGTCCAAATGCACGCGCGTTGAGTACAACAGCCACGTGCTCAACATTGTCGACACACCTGGCCACGCTGATTTCGGCGGCGAGGTGGAACGCATCTTAAGTATGGTGGACGGTGTGGTACTGGTTGTTGACGCTACAGAAGGCCCTATGTCGCAAACTAAATTCGTACTGACTAAGGCGCTGCATCGCGGCCTGAAGCCGCTCGTAGTAGTTAACAAGGTGGACCGCGACACGAGCCGCCTGGATGGCTCGGTAGAAAACGAACTTTTCGATATGTTTGTGGCTCTTGATGCCAATGATGAACAGCTGGAATTTCCTGTTTTGTATGCATCGGCAAAACAGGGCTGGGCCGTGTATGACCTTGATAACGTGGACGAGCCGCGCGACAGTATGCGTCCGTTGCTAGACGAGATCATGCGCTATGTGCCTGCCCCTCAGGCCAATGCTGATATGCCGTTTGCGATGGCTGTAACTATGATTGGCCACGATCCGTACGTTGGTCGCCTGGCCACAGGTCGTGTCCACGCTGGAACTGTAAAGGTGTACTAGTCTATTCGGTTGTATGTAATTAATTTTCAAGTCTGACTGCATTATTCTGTGTTTCGAATGCACCAAGTAGATTGGTGACTCGATTCAAGTGTTAAATCGCGATAGCAAGAAGCTCGAAAGTGGCCGAGTTACAAAGATGTTTGTTACACGAGGAGTTATCAAGTCAGAAATTCAATCGGCTACGGCTGGTACGTTGATTGCCACGCTCAATATAAGTATGGTTTTCTTATCACTATATGCGGTACATTTGGCAATCCCCAACAGGCGACATCATTACTATTGCAGGCGTAAATGCCTATGTTTCTGATACGATTGCTGATAACGCTGTGACGGAGCCCATCCCATCTCCGCAGCTAGACCCCCCAACAATTTCCATGACGTTTGGTGTGAATGATGCGCCAACAGCAGGCAAGGAGGGCAAATACCTCACATCTTCTCACATTAAGCAGCGTCTTGAACGGGAATGCGAGGTACGATTCGATTACCACCAAAACGGGCGATTTGCTTACAGTATAACATTTCCGTTTTCAGAACAACGTTGCCATTTCCATATCACCCAGTGCTTCTTCTGAAGCTTTTGATGTTCACGGTCGTGGCGAGCTACAACTTGCGATATTGATAGAAGAAATGCGACGTGAAGGTTTCGAAATGTCGGTCTCGGCTCCTCAGGTGATTTTTCAAATGGACCCAGCGACAAAGCAAAAGCTGGAGCCGATTGAAGAAGTAACGATTGATGTTGACTCCGATTTCTCCGGCACGGTTATCGACAAGTTATCTACTCGTGGTGGGGAAATGGTTGAATTTAAAGAGATGCATGACAAAGTGCGTCTTCAGTTTAAGATTCCCAGTCGATGTCTCATGGGCTACCGTAGTGAGGTATGTAACGCACAGCTTTCACCATGAGGATCCTTGAGCTAATATGTCAATTACTATTTCACGTGCTTGTAGATCAAGACTGACACGCGCGGAAGTGGCATCCTGAACTCGATCTTTCACGGCTACTCACCGTACCAGGGTTCCGCAACCCCGCCGTCTAAAGGCAAGCTTATTGCTTCATCTGGAGGAGTTTGCACGGCAAGTTCGAGCACTTTTTTACCCGTGGTGTCTGACTGTTAATATTCTTTTGGCTTATGGCAGGCTTATGCACTTAACTCGCTGGAGGCCCGCGGAGATATGTTTGTTAAGCCTGGTGACAGCGTATACGAGGGCATGATTGTTGGCGAGCACAGCCGCCCCACGGACATTGAAATAAATCCTACAAAGGAGAAAAAACTCACGAACATGCGCGCCGCGGGCACGGATGAGAACATTAAACTGTCGCCAATTCGTCAGATGTCCCTAGAAGACGTAGTCACATATATTGGTAACGACGAAATGATAGACGTATCCCCATCTAGAATTCGTATGCGGAAGCGGGAGTTGACTGCAAGCGGCCGTAAGCGGGTGCAAGGCAGGAACAACTAAACCAGCCATGGATAGATATCCTTGTGTGATCAGAGCAATTTATAGAAACACCGGTAATAGAAGTACCAATTTTATAAATCAACTTTTTTAAATTTAAACAAGCACAAACAAGGATTGCACAACCCTACTCAATATCCGGTCTTCGACCTTCCGTCATGGCGCTGTCACCAGAGGACGAGAGCGTGTACAACATGCAGGCAATAAAAATGCAGCGCGATGTTAATTGTTTGACCGACCCAGACCGCAGCGTACGCCGCCGCGCAGCGTATAGAATCAATTGCATGTTACAAAGTGAATTGTCGCACGTATCCAACTCTGTGGTTCGCGCACTGAGCGATTTGAATCTAAAACGCGTGCTACTACAATGTGCCGAAAGTGACGCTGTTGAAAAATGCAGAGAGCTTGCGCTCACGTCACTTCGAATTTTGTGTGAACGCGGGGCGTTGGAGCCGTCAGTCGCAACATTAAAAGAAGTAGTGACATTGGCCAACGCTCGACTAGGCCAATTGCCGTACCCAGAGCCTACGGAGGAGATCCGTCTGCTAATACTGCAATTGTTGCACATTTTCTTGACGCAATTAGCTGCAGTAAAAACTACGTTGACGTCATTGCGTGATGTGATCACAGAGCTGGCCAACGTTCTGGGTAAGTCGGCAGCAGACCTATTTCCAGATGCCAAGAAGGTTTCGGCAGATTGCGTCATTTTGATTTCGAAGACTTGGAAATGTGATATTGGTATGCAGATTGGCACTATCGTGAAACCTTTAGTGATAAATGTGGGCCACCAACATAGTCGTGTGCGCGTTTGCGCATTACAGGCACTGGAAGCTGCAGTCCCATGTGGCTCAGAAGCTTTGCCCGAGCTTATGAACGAAGTGTTGATGCCAGCAGTAAGTAAAGTAATTTTTGACCACGCGCCATCCGTCAGAATGCAGCTGGTTCGTACATTGGCCGCGTGGCTGAGTCAAAATGAACACATACAGCAGTTTGAGGCCTCAGTCTTCTCCGTTTTTCTAGCTGGAATTGTTGATGATTCTCCGAAAATACGAGCGCTTTCAATTGCTGAATTAGGGCTGATCTCGACAAACTGGGAGACAAGATGTGAAGATATTGGCATCAAATTTGATGACGTCGAGCCCATGAGTTTATCTTTGGACACTGAAAACTGCATACCACCTCTATATTTTGAGTCTCGCCCACCGCTGGGTGCTCGCAAATTTGCAGCTAGTCTTCACGCGCAAGTGCTGCCTTCGCTTCTTGAAAAAACTGGAGACTGGACCGTGCAGGTGCGCGAACGCTACACCCAAATTTTAAGTGCATATATTATTCTATTGGAGCAAAATATAAACCCATATATCGACAAGGTATTTGCAGCACTTGTAAAAATCTGTCGTGATGACGAAGACGTGGTTCAAATCAGTGTGAAGGCATGCTTGGGGGTTATTGGCTATTACGCAGATCCCCACATAGTTTTGGCTTCATTGGTGCCGATAGTGACAGGAAGATCGGCAGGACAAGACACTGCCCAACATCGCATAAATGGACTAACTTTACTGGGGTTTAGTTTAGAAGGTATGACTATGAAGACAATCGACACTCACTTGGAGGTAATCAAGTGATATGACGGAATTCAAGTTGATTCTTTCCTCATCATATGTTTCGAAATTGGGCAGTTTATCACAGAGGCACTTTGCGATGCTAGTCTCCGCGAATCTGAATTAGCTGACCTTCACGACGTGTTGGCTGGTGTTATCTCAAGTATTGTCAAGACTGCTGGGCCACTACTTGCGCAGAACGACGAGGTCTGCTTCCGACTGTTTTGGGTGCTGAGTCATCTTTTTGCTTCATCTTCAGAATCGTCAGCTTCATATGAATTGGTACGTTGATAACCTGCAACTGACTTGTCTCGCAAACGTTTGTTCAAATGACTGACTTAATGGTGCAGGCAAATGAATCCGTACAGAATCTTGCTGCAATAATGGAGCAATCTGTTGAGGTCGGTTTTTATGTGAATTTATATTCCGAGATAGTTTACCCATCCGATCGATTTGCTGAATTTAGGGGTTATATTTACGATACATGGGCAAGATCCTTGACACGATGACGCTTCCTATCGATGTGAGTGAGGCATGGCAGAAAAATAACCCCTATCGCGTACTTTTTGACTCACTTTGCAGACGTGGAGGAGCGGTACGCAATTGCATCTACAGGATTATTAACGGAAGCGTGCTCGTTATCATGCTAAATTACGTTTGCCGTGCCGCTTGTTGATAGGCTTGTAGAGAATATATGGCTCGAATTGTTCCCGTATTCCTAGCCCATCTAGAACCAGACCAGGACGCGGATGTTCGACTTGCCTTTCTCGCTTTGTTAGAGACGATGCTAGGAACAGATTCCATCATTCAGGTGCGATTGCTTTATGATCGACAATTTTTTATAATTTTTTGAAATTTTTAGGAATGATATGTGCCTTTGTGGTTTCATTTGTATCTTTTGTGCAGGCCTTTAAGCCATACAGTGTGCCATTGCTAAAACAAGCTATAATATCAAATATTGTTTGGCGTGGTGGGCGCGTCTCTGCAACTATTAGGTGCGTTAATTCGCCATTATTTCTCGCACTATTGCTTACTAAGCGAGATTTGCTCTCACGATTTAGAAAAGTAGCTGTTGCAAGCGCGTATACCCTTCTGCGTCAGGGCATCGCTGACCAATCGTGCTTGTTCGAAACTGCTCCTGAGGTATCGTGACTAGGTTCTATCCCGAAATGTCCCTTGTTATAATGCAACTTATATTGACAGTAGATGCTACCCGTATTAAAGTCTTCATTGGACGATGGCGACGCTAAGACTCGCCAACTAGTCTGTCTGGCGCTGCAGTATTTGTTCGTAGCATTGCCGGGATGTTTAGGAGGTGTCGCGTTTGTAGTCGTGCTCGTTTTGTCTAAGCTGACTGACAAGTTTGTCGTTGTGTAAGACAGAGGAGCCAGTGCACCAGCTTTATGCTGACATTTTAAAGCGCCTGGATGACAGCAGCGACACTGTGCGCAAAGCTGCCTGCCAGACTTTTACTACCTTTTTAAAAGCTGCCCCAAAAGAGCATTTTGAAGGAACGATTATTGACTATACGTTGGATTGCCTTTTTGTCCACCTTGATGATACAGAACTTGACATTCAGGTAGGGAGAATTGTCTGATGTGCAATGAATCTGTGATTTTAGTGCTATAGCATATAAATTGTGACTGGATCATGGACTTGTGTACGATTTGAATTCAGGAAGCTGTTTTTGCCGTTTTGAAGGAAACTGCGAATATCGATGCACCCCGACTGGCGAAAAAGGCAGAGGAAAACCGGACTCGACACCGAAAACCTCACTATTGCGACCAACTTTTGGCGTTGGCGACTGTGCGGTCAATATAAAAAGGTTAGATTCATTCACAGATCGTAACCCGTTACTTTAAGTGATGTGCTACGCCACTTACCACAACCATTCAAGCTTCCTCCAGCTTTTGTTCGTCTAACATTTTAAAGTAGGCAACCAATTCGCCAATGCGTTGTTGATGTTTCTTTACATCATCTTGTTGCCTCACAATTTTTCGCTGTTTTCTCATACTAAAAGACGTTTTCGCTGTTTTAAAAACGAAAATAGGCGGCGAATCTTGACCTGCTACAACTTCGGATAGCGAGTCCACCACTTGTCGTTTCGACAGCCCTTTCTTAGCTCTACGGCTTGAGCGATTGCCACCCTGCCGCGCTCCTCGTCGCCCTGGCTTCTCGGCATTCGCTTCATTCTCCTGCACACACCTGTTAATGCGCTAACGCACGACTCAGCTATTTGGAACAACCTTATTTCCATCACATGATTGTGCTAGGATGTAAAGCAGCGGTAAGATAAGGAAGGACGTAACAAAAAACAGCTAATATACTACTGATTACAACGTCACTTGTGCTTAACATTCACCGTAGCATCAGTCGCAGTATTAATCACAACACTCACCATTATCGTCGGACGAGTCAGTCAGCTGACATAGCTGCTTCATCGGAAGCTTAACTCCATGTCTGCGAGGAGGCATATTATCAGAGCGCGGACTCAAAAGCGAAGTTGAAGTGAACTGTTTATCATGATCAATGGCAGATTATGATTGGCTTAAATAAAGATTGATGATTATTTTTGATGCAAATATTTCAACAAACCTTATGACACTATTTTTTCCTCAAAAAAAATTTGACCGCACGTAATGAAGACCCCATCCGACGAGCCCCAAGGCACCATCATCGCCTCGAAGGTTCCGCATCAAGTATTACAGGAATTTCGTGATCAGATGGCAAAGGCCGTGGATATCCGAAATGTGCGCGGCATCTCCCAATTTTTTGGTCTTGGTGCGTCTCAAGCTGACAAACGTGTTATTTTTTTATTTACTTACAATACGAAATAATGTCCGAAACCTGGATAGGCGAGGAAAAGCCTTTTAACTTACCTAATCGTGATGTACTCGCCACGCGGTGCCGAAGAAATGCTTTTTTTTTTAGCGCAAATTATGCTATCTCTGCGGCACTTGTCGGTGTCATTACGATGTACTTTATAGACTTGTATTTTCTAATACTTGGGCAGTATTCATCAAAGCTGCTATGTTTTGTATGTATCGTTGAAGCTTGCTGAACCCGTTCTTCCTTTTCGTACTGATTTGTCTGGGCGGCTTTTGGCTATATATGTCGAGCGCGACGGCGAATGAATCACCTGAAAACCCGACAAAAATTATGGGTCGTACGGTGTCCCCGGACCAGCGAAAGATTGGCTTGCTTGGTGGTACGTGTTTTCAATTTGCGTCATAGTTACAAACTGACATGTTTCCTTCTCTCATATGTTAGTCAGCGCTGTTGTCATTGTAATTTTCGGAGGCTCAATTCTTTTTACGATTTGCTCGGCCAGGTAGTTACTTGGCTTGTATAAGCAAGCAGCTCGTATTCTAATTTTGCGCTATACAGTGGAGCTCTCGCTATATCGCATGCTATCCTGCGCGACTGTCCTTCTGTTCGTGAAGAAGACGAATTTGGTTTTTTGTCAAGCGGGAGTGACGAGGTAGCAGACACTGTATAGAGGGCCCAAACCCACGTAGGATTTACCAGCCTGCAAATATCGGTTTGATTGGAGTTACACGAACAAGCTTAGAGCTAGCGAGAAGGATTACAGAACAAGATGCATGTTATCTCGAACAAAACATATTTTCCCCCAGCCCTGCACGACACGGACTTGAGTGGCATTATGAGCTTGCGCCAAATTTAATCATTTAATCATTTCATTTTTTGTCATGAAATGCTGATAATACTATTATTCGCATCATATCAATATCAAAAAGCATGTCGCTTGTGCTAGCATGTGCTCAGTACTTAAGACAAAAATTTGCACACAACTAGCTTTTCCATTATCTATACCAACAATTATTGTGGCTTGTTAAACAACCTTGCATCAGACGTCTGTCAAATACATTGCGGCTTCTCAAGATGCAGTTTAAATGCCCGTATATACCCTACAGTATTTAGAGGTCATCATCATTACCAAAGAATGTAAGGATCTGATAAATACAGTATAAAGCAGGACTCCTAGGATTTATAGTGAGCAAGAATCATAGGAGGTAACCGCTTCTGCAAAAGTAAAAGTCTTCTCTTCTCTTCTCTTCTCTTCTCTTCTGCTCAATGGTCCAAACGACAGCAGGAGATAAACTGACAAATAAAACATGTCATTCAGTATGACGGTCTGATAAAAACGTCACAGTGCAGCGGCGGAATTTCTGAGCTTAGAAATGGCCTACTGTACAAATGCGTTATTGAGAGAATAGCCAATCGTGTATATCTCGTCATTTAAATTCGCTTTTGTGATTGGTTATCAGGACTATGGCAAACAAAAACAAGTCAACTGAACGTCGCTTCGAGGCAGTTGGGGTGCACGTGGCAGGCTTTGTCCAATCAGCTCTGGAAGCTCACACAGCGGAGCGATTTGGTCAAAAGTTTTTGTTTACTTGTAGACTAATTACTGTATGAATGGTTTGCTCACTACGAGCACGACTACCAACCTGGCTTTCTTTGAACGCAGATGTAATAGTGTTCAGGTTTGGTTCAGCGAGTCTACTTGGAATAGAGCTTGTTGTGCAAGTGCAACAAAGACACTGTTGTAGCGACTGCCGCACACAAGAAGCACCATGGCTAGATAATCTCAGCCTCCACTTCGCCTTCCTTCTCTTTAAATTGTGTCGCAATTCGTGCTGGAATATTCTCAGGGCATTGCCTTTGTCCTTATTAAAGCAGTAATGTTAGCAGCGGTTAGGGGGAACAGCAATTATAAACTTCTAACTTCATTCCAGAATTTGCCTCACTAACATCAAGACCTCAAATAGTCGGAAATCTTCTTTTTTAGCTAATATGTGGGTATTCGGCTACGGCTCGATTGTCTGGAAAACGGATTTTCCCGCTGAGGATACGGTTTTCGGTTACGTCGAAGGCTGGCACCGTCGTTTTTGGCAGGGAAGCCCAGACCACCGTGGCTCACCTGAGGCGAAGGGCCGTGTCGTGACGCTCATTAGTCGTGAGCAGATGAAGAGATTCGAGGATGAGCACGCGCATCTGGAGGATGACCACATTACGTGGGGCCGTCTATATAAAGTTCCTGCTGAAGAGGTCGAGTGCACTTTAACTAAACTCGACAACCGTGAGCAGGCGGGATACGATCGTCAGATGGTGAACGTACATTGCGTCGACGGCAAGATGCGTCAAGCGCTTGTTTACATCGCAACTCCCTCTAATGCGGATTTTCTCGGCCCATCGCCTGTTGATGAAATGGCCAAAGAGATTGCAACTCGCAGTGGCTATAGTGGTCCCAACTTCGAGTATCTTTTTAAGCTCTGCGACTGTATGCGCGCACTACAGGTCCGTGACCCGCATCTGATTACTCTGGAGAAAGCCACGCGCAAATACACATCAGCTATGAGCTGGAGCACGAATGACACTGGGTGCGGTATCCAATAAATATAGAAGGCATTTGACAAATGACTATGTAAAGTGCAGTTTGAGCTGCATGTGTAAATTATTTTAATAGAGGCATGTACAACCTAAGTTCATCTACTTCAATAGCATGGTTGGGAGTTGATTGCTCCGTCACCGAACCAACTTTGAATTCGCGTTACCGTTTGATTGTCTTCTTTGGAGGATTGCGCTTACTAAATATTCTGTTCTCTTAATAAGCGTTTATTATGCTTGTTTGGTAGGGCTGAATTACGACTTTCATGACCTTGAAAGGGGGGGGCAATATCGCCACACAAAATCTTCTTCACAAGCTCTTTCATTTCAACTGTCATGCTATTGTCCAAGGCTAGCAAATGCATCAATATTTATAGAGTTAGACTTGCTGTGTTGATGTTGTTGACCAGCTTGAAGGTTCTCTGGATTCATAAGCTGGGAAATACTGTAATTGACGTTATTCATGCGACCAGATGCATCATGCGATTGCTGAACGGTCATAAAATCTCGCTTTCCTTGATGCTGCATTTGTTGTATTGTAACTTGCGTAACGACCGGCATGGATAGCGGCTGCTTTACAGTGCTTTGGTGCATAAAGCCGGCCGGTATTTGATAAAACCGCTCCTGGTGACGATGCTGAACATGAGAATTAACAGCGTGCTGAGTTGTAAAAGGATCTAGATTGATCATTTCGGCAGGTTTTGTCGAAATTGGCGCTGCAACAGAGGCAAACGGATCGACATTTGCGGCAACTGGAGGCACTTGCTGTTGTTGGGCTGACGGCAAGCCTCTCGTTGTTAGATTTTCTTTAGACGGTACCTTTGCCAACAATTCACGGTCGTCGTCAAATAAGTAAATCGTTTCGATACTCGCATATGATGCTATACTTACACTGACCAAAGGATCGAAGATCAATGCCTGCGCCGATAAACTCACACTCGAATCAAAGTCGTCAAGCAGGTTTATTTTGGACTGCGTCACTGCAGTCGGTGCTTTTAAAGGTGGTATTGACTTTCCGTGAGAATTTGTAGCCCTTGTTTGCTCCTGTATTAGTGAGCTCTGTTGATGAAAGTCAGCCGAACTTTGTTGACCGTTTTGATGTTCTGGAAAGCTGCGAGTCCGTTCACTAGATCTATTGCCCCATGACGATTGTGACTGAGCACTCTGTCGACCAAAACTGTGCGTTCGACTTGTTTTTTGAGAACTGTCTGTGACAGAGCCACAAGAGCCACCAGAATATAATTCCCGATTGCTTTCATTCTGCGAAGGCGGTAAAGCTCCACTTGGTCCCCAGCGGTGCATTCCGTAGGTATCTGCTCCGAAACAGTCCAATGTCACATACACGTACACAGCCAAATTCTTAATTTCATGTACTAACTTCCAGGAGGCGCATTTGGCTGAGCATACGTCGCCGTGGTGATGGCGTGCTTTTTGCGGCGGTAGACATCCCAACGACGGTATGGGACTCGGTCAATGGCGAAGTCTGACCAGAACAATCTGTAAGCTATGAACGTCTGGTAAGGATTCAACCCTACACGCACCATATTTCGGAACTTCAGCCGACTCAACGTCGTTGATGCGGACTTCCATGATCATGTTAAGTCCATCCAAGATCATAGTGAAGTTCCAGTCACCTAGAGTTGCCTGGAAAGCAACATATGATAATTGAATCGTCTGTTAGAACAGATCCACTAAAAGGCTTTGTACTCGTGAAAGTTCCCACCGTTGAAGAAAAGTGCATTTGCCGGCCATCGTACAACACAACCTGTCCATACCACCAAACAAGAGCAACTTTGCTAAAATCCAACAAATTTTGGTCTAAGTCCTTTGTTACCGACAAACCTTTTTGTAGCTCATCACGGAATGAATTAAAGCCACCTCGTGCGTACGGTCCGACTCGCCAAGCGTAAAGCGCCATGCTACACGCTTCTTGGACGCCGCCACCCGTTCCCCAATATGCTGCTCCTCACGCAGTACACGTTTAGGTGGGCCGCGCTCTAGTGGGTCCACTTGCGGGGTATGGATGTGCGTTGCGTACATGGCGTTCACGAAGTGGATGTCTTATTTTATCGATATGTATTGTGCGTCATTCATTCCTTTTTTAGTCAATTAATAAAGCTATGTTTACCAGTATAATTACGCAGCATGTTTGAGACGACGTAGCGACCCTTTCTTTGGCGCCAAATGTGGATGATCTGTCTTAGAACTGTCAAATATACATCAAAGTCGCCATCACACTCACAGGCGCGTCTGGATATAGAATTTAAACGATGAAATTTCGGAGTTGGCATGCTTCATTTTCTGCCTTCCTACTACTACCTCCTTGCCTTAATGCAAAATCATTTCTAGCAAAACGTCATGCTAAGACCAAGTTGAGCACGTTTAATATTATCCTGTTTGCATCACATCAATCACACGTCAGTACACAGACTTAAGGAACGCGATTTGAATGAGCTCATACGTGATTGAGGGACTTGAGAATCCACGAGTAATTAGCCTCGAGGCGGCCAATACGAGTTCCCCACACAAGACCTATACCGATTGACACACGTGTGTCATCGACAAGATTTTTCATCCACTTCTTCTCGTCCAACACACGGTCCCATGTAGTCAAGTTGCCGGCGTTGGCAAAGAACTGACCTCGGAGACCCAGGGCCTAGAGTAGTAAATGCAGCGAAAATATCATCAGGTGACATCTTGGACATGACATAACGCGAATAACCTTACCGCTAAAAGTGGAAGCATTACGGGGAAACCTACGCTCGCCGTTCCGTGATAGCTCACATCACCGCCAAGAGCATCACCTTGTGCAACACCGCCATCAAGAGGAGATGCTCGAGGACCGATTCCTTTATGGTTGAAACCGCGCAAGTTCATGGGACCACCCAAGAAAAAGCGATCACTTATGCGCACTGGTCGGTGTTGCTCACTACCGTACGACTTTACTGTTCCCATGTGACCCGAAAAGCTAAAGTTCAACAATGGGAATCCAAGAAAAAGAGGGCCAAGTGCAAAGTGCTTCTGGCCTTCTACCTCGGCTTTAACAAATTTAACGTCGCCTGCAAGACCAGCAATTTCCGTTCTAATCATTGAACATTAACGCGAGAGGTCAGAGTTCCTTACAATAGGCAAGGATAATGTCTGTACGTACGAATATTTGAAAAGGCCTCCAGTGGTTGGATACACAATGTTATCCCGGTTATCGTCCGTGAATACGTATTTGACACTAGTCTTGGTAGACGGCATGGCTTCTGCAAGAATACTGGGCGACGCACGGTATGCTGTGGGAATCTTTGGGTCACGACGGGGAAGCAGGTCTCGCCAGCCAACGTTGAACGACAGGTCGTGTACGCCTTCATAATCGCTGATGGAAATGCTACCGGCACGAATCTTTTCATTGTACGAGCTAAGCCATTCGTGGTTCTTGAAAATATCGATAGACAGGTATCATGGTTAGATACTCTCGTCATGACTAAAAATCCACAAATAACTTACATGAAGCTCATTGGTACCAACCGCACTTAAGTACAGCGGCAAACCCCAAAAGCGAGGTTTCTTGAAAGTTGCGCGCTGCGTATTACTTCCCGAACGTGCATAAGTAGCACTTAGTGAAATCTTTTCCGCCTCTCCGAACGCGTTCAGCAACGTCAGCGAGGATTCCTACAAAGCAATATCAATTGCGCTCAGAGTCTTTTTTTTTCTTGTATACAGCACCAAAACAGCACTCTACTCCTGCTTCATCATTGCCATCGGTGGTCGCGCCCACGTGCAATGATCGCCAGCCCTTTTCCTTCACCGTGATAGTGACGTCCGTCTCATCGCGCTCGCCAGAGCTTGCTACATACGCCAATATCATATAATAAACTCAGAACCTACAGCTCAACTATTTTTAGCTAGATTTGCACCCTCGTCCAGCTTGATGCTGATCGTATCAAAAATGTCGAGGGCTTTGAGCTCGTTCGTAGCTTCCTCAAGCTTGTGCACCAAATCGCCGATGTGCTCAGCGTTGTACGCCTCCTGCACATTCAAGGCATCAGCAAATGGCCAGACATGTCGCTTCTGTTTGTTGTATTGTATAAACTTTCACCTGGAGTTCGGTTTCAAAAACTTCGGGCCTGTACGCACGTCAGGACGTTCAGAAATTAATTGACCAGCTACCAGATACATCATTAAAATTTGGCGCACTTTGTACGGTCGTTGCCCTCTAAAAAGACCTTGCCGATGTGCATGGGCGGTCCCCATGGGTGCCTCGCATCAGCCGTAGTGTCGCTCGGCGTCGACATGTTTGGGTTTATATAAGACTTGAAGGCAGCATCGAGGTTTTACTATTTAATGTGTATAAAAACATGTGGCGTCGACTGCAGCTTCGAATTGCTGGCACTACTCCCGCGAGACGCTTCCAGGTTCATTACAGTGATAGTGTTTTTGTGGTCTATGTCTGAATACGAAAGTTTTGTGGTCATTATGCCGTGAGTACAATGCAGGAGGAGACCGACGTGGGAATTGCCGCCGTGCTGAGCTGCTTTCGGAGCTTGACACTGGACCTGCAGTATGCTAACAAGTGAGCATTGTTATTCTGGATGTGATTCGGATTTGGTAAATTATTGTCAAGCCGTTGGTAGTAATGATGCCGCTTTAATCTACACTGTAGAGATCATGAGGAGCTGTTTGCCCAAGCCGTTGACATTATCGGTTCGAAGAACTTTGAGCAGCAAAAGGAGTACGTGCAAGACGAGGTTGCTAAGCAGGTGCGTCGATAATCGAACAGGTATAAAATAGTAACCAACTTCACAATAGGATGCAATGAAAATAGGTTCAGCATTCGTTTGAGGCGGTGCTGAAGATGCCCAAGTACTTAAGGCAAAGTTCACATCAAATGTCATTGTCAGGATTCAAACGCAATACTGAAGTGGAGGAAACAGTAGCTTACACATATTGACAAATATATAATAATAGCGTATGATCTCACAGTTGTAATTTGGTGATCGCAGCTTGGAACATCTGACTTCTTCCAGGACTTTTTTGGGTTCACGCTCAAAGTCGAGGAGTCAAGCATACCTCACGCTGGTGAAGGTGTGAAGCTTTGTGGGTCTGCTCCCATTGGGTCATTTGTGGTGAGTTATTATTTGTACAATGCTGGTTCAGTCGTGTCTCAAACATTTACAATAGGCTTTGTATCCTGGTATCGTCTTCTTGCCAGAGCATTACAAGAAGGTAGTGATTCATATATGAGACAATGTTTTATGTGGAAACTAAACGATGTGCTCATAATCATAGAAACACTATCTGAGCGAGCTGTCAAATAATATCTACGCACGCGCGCGTTTTGATGGTGTGATTATTGACGGCAAGAATGAAAGTACGAGAATGGATTGTGACAACAATTGTTAGAATGAAGATGCCCTTCGCTAACAGATGGTGTACACTATATCAGCATCACACCCACGTAATCCGCTTGCTGTAGCACATAAAATCAACCATCCTCCGAAAGGAATTTCACCCAATGTGATTGGCTTTGCGTTCGAATTCCCTCAAAACGGTACTTCGATGCTTGACGGCTCTGCTATGCGTTTGGTGAGGTTCTTTTCTTATTGATTTAAGTATCCTTTTTTTCAGAGCCATTTACCGAAAAGGAGTTTGATGAGCTCATCCCAAACGCTTTCGTGCAAGAACCGTCTCGTCTGTCTATGTTTGGCAAGCGTACCATTGTGCATGTAAGTTTGTAGATTGTCATGCGAAAGACATTGCCATCCCACATCGATTAATATATACAGGGCCTCGCATTTATTGCGACAGCGAATATTGCTGACGGAGAAGAAATTCTCCTCAACTACAGGTCTCTATATGTTAAGGGCTCTACTTCTATATAATTCGCCTCTCCTGACCATTCCGCCCTAATGTTTGATGCATTAGGTATAACCCAGACCGTCCGCTTCCTGACTGGTACACGCCTGTAGATGTTGAAAGTGATCGAGCAATGTGGACGTAAAACTTGTTTACCAGAATTTTGACAGTCATAGAATTTGATTGTGATTTTAAAAATGTGTCTGCACTGGTGTGCTCTTGTGCATAATAAATTGGTGGTAGCCTCTGCACCAGTTAACGATAATTGGTGATTGATTGTTAGTCTACTGGCAAAAATATATCTTTTGAGACCTGAAATTACTTCGGAAATTCAGCGTTGTTGGATAAAATGATACCAACAATGACACCGAAAATACCAAGCGCACTAGCAAAAATCTCAACAATCAAGATTGTCACATATAGTGAGGCGTTTTGAGCATCCGCGAGCACACAACTGCTGCCAGCAATACCGACGGATACTCTGAATCAAAAACATCCTCCTTTATCAATAACAGCGTTCCCCGTTCATGCAATTCAGTAGCACATACCCGCTAGCCACGTTTGTCAAACCGACAGCGAGACCGGAACCAAAAACCGCGTATGCCGCAAAGTACAGCGCTTGCTCACTTATCGGTTCATCACCCTCATGACGCAATCCAGGCTGATTCATCTGCAGAGAGTATAGATCCAAAAGCAATGAGTTAGCGAACCCCTTTTGTCATTACTTGAAAATACTAAGCCGAACTTTGCTTTGTAGTATTATCGCAATGATGACGCCATAAATTGCCGTAGCCTCACAAAAGATGATGCTCACAAGATTCTTGGACCGGACGCGTGGTGCCTTAACAGCCGCACCCAGAAGACTGGAGCCTGTGATGAAGATGCCCCTATTATTAACATAATCAAATCAGTTTCTACTTCCTATAAAAACGACCATACTTAGCGTACCAGGCGGCACCAACAATAGACAAAGAAAGTCCTAAAGCGATTCCCATGCTACCCCACGCGTATGGCGAGATATTGCTCAACACGTCGCCCCAGCCTGTCCATCAAAGCTCGAGTTAGCCATATGGTATCTCAATGTTTCGCTGTATATTTTCGCCATTCTCTTTTTTCAACAAACCTTGGTTAAACATTTCGTCTGTGGCTACGCTCATTGTAATGTCTTGGTCAAAACGAGGCTATCGTTGTTTGTGTGACAGCTAAAAACTAAGAGACGTTTCAGCTCAAAAGATGAGATCGCACTTAACTGGATCAATTGAACTAACTTGATAGCATGGCTGATAAGCGCGCACTATACGTTGGCAACCTGGACAATCAGGTGACGGAGCAGGGGTTATACATGGCTTTTGTGCCTTTCGGACCTATTAAGAGCGTGCAGATTCCACTGGACACTAGATCACGTACGTCTCACGAAATTGATAAGACACCACGTGACAATTAATATGTGCTTGAATCAGAAAGGGGCAAAGGCTTCGGTTTCATAGATTTTGAAGATGAGGCGGACGCCAAAGCAGCAATTGACAATATGGATGGTAAATTCATTTTTAATGCCGATAGCTTGCTATGAATGATAGAGTCCCAACGCTCGTCGTCGTTATTATCAGAATCAGAGCTGTTTGGAAAGACGTTGCGCGTCACTATTGCTAAGCCAGATCGCCCCAAACTAGGCTCTTACAAACCAGGTATGTACAAATGCTGTTATGATGATATGCGGCCTGTCAAGATTGATTTGATGCAAATTTTGTGCTCATGGTGGTGCAGTGTGGGCAGAGATGGGGGATGTCACTGGCGTCGAGGGAGAGCCCGTTAAGGAGGGGGACAGTAGTGCTGTACAAGCATGACGAGTTCAAAGATCAATGCGAATGCAATATCGTACGCGGACGTCAAAGATTTGCACCCACATTATGAGGTTTGAAGCCCAAGATAATTGTATGTTGTCTGAGAAATCGATGTGTTAGCACCGGTATCGCATGCTTTATATCATGTAATGTTTCGGATGAAATGATATCATGCTTAACGGCGTAGCAAAATAGAGATAGCTTTCAAAATAGCATTTAAGCTTTCGCAGAGCATCAAACAATGTTCAATAGCTAGATGTTGTGCGGACGTCGAAGCTGACGGGCTACGTGCTTAATAAAAGCATTTTTTCTGAAAGTTTTTCTGGCTCAAATTGTACTAATGTACACAAATCGCGATATTTCTGTGCTAAATTTTCATCATGTCACTGATCGAGCTGTCCATCGCGGCGGTGGCGCTCTCCACCCCTGTGCACCAGATTCTCGATTATGTAGAATTCTTTCCCATCGCCATTCGGCAGCAACTATTTTATAAGCTGTCTAATTTAAGGCTGCGAGAGATGGAGGTGGCGTGGGAAGCTGCTGCACATCAAGAGCTTCCGGAATCACGTGAAGGCTATGACCCCATGGCCGGAGATAAATTTCTATTCGACCGCGAGTTGCAGCGAGTATGGGATCACCGTTTGAGTGAAAAAGGTTTGAGTTGCGAGTTGAATCCCACCGAAAACGCATTGGTGGCAATAGAACAACGACGCAACAGCCGGAATGTTTTTTGGGAACATCAATTTCGAACTCTCCTCAAGCTGCGTACGCCACCTAACAAAGCTGTTCATGGCGACATATTAATCAAATATCAGAGACTATTTGTGGACGTTGTCGAGGTACTCAAGGTACACGGGCGGGAGATATGCGAATATAATGTGAAGCTGATTTTGGCACTGCGTCAACTACGGAGACTGGAGGTGCACCATCCGGAACAGCAAACTACGTGCTGGAGATCTTTAACGACAGTGATGCGCAACTGTTCACGTCTGGCGGAGGTATGCTTTTTTCACGGAAAACTAAGTGTTGATCAAATCATTCAGATTCGCAATACCTTAATGAGACCAAACTTAGCTGGCAAACTCGAATGTAGTAGAATCGCGACGTTAGAGTTGATATCCGTGAAAATTCGGCTCGAGGGATTTCGACAACTACTGAAAGTTATAGCGGATATACCACACCTCACTCAGTTGAGATTAAGCAATACGATTGCAACTTTTGACACGAAATTACTTATCGACGCAGCATTTCGTGCATCTGGGCTACAGCGACTCTTTCTGGAACACAATGAGCTAGAGGATGACGCATTTATTGGCTTGTCAAAAGTAAGAAACACGCTGCCATTACGACACCTACGTCTGAGCGACAATGATCTTTCTTCCATCACTGCAAGAGCAATTTGCAGCGCTAGTATGGATGGAGTGATGAATCTTGAACGACTTGAACTGGCCAACAATGTGCAAATAGGAGACTCTGGCATTCATGCCCTGACACCAATGCTGGCTTCTCCAGGCGTGGGACCTGCTGCGGTGCTGATCCATCTCGATGTTCGTGGTTGCAATTTTGGCCTGGAAGGTGCCACAAATTTGATGCTAGCTCTGAGTCAAAACAGGACAGTCAAATATTTGAACATTGCTCAAAACTTTCTTGATACTGGCTTTGGCGACGTCCTTGCAGACTTTTTAATCACAAACGAATCTGTTACTCAATTGCAAGCGAATGATGTTGGACTAGGATTGGCAGGTGTATCTGCTCGCTTGCTGACAGCATTAGAGACCAATACTACTCTCATTTCTCTCTCGATGGGAGCGAATCGATTGCGAAATGCTGGTGCGGCTGCTATACTGAGATCATTGGTAAAGCGGGCTAGAACAAAGCCATTCACATTGGTCGACTTAAGTGGCAATTTACTTACATTTAGAGGGCTAGAAATGATTGCTGATATTTTAAAAGCTGCTGGAAGGAACAATGCAGTTCATACTACCAGTCCCAAAAAAAATCGCACTAACGACCAAGACGTTTTCCGAAAACGTCACCGAACGAGTAGCATAGATGCAAACTCAAATTTGTTATGCAATTACAGCAAACCCATCGAAGAATTCTGTCTTCTTAATAACATTTTCATAAAAAATGACGAGAATGTGGGCGGCAGCGCGACACTTGTTGATTCTATTCGACGCTTTGTGGGTCAGCTCAAAAGTAATGAGTGGGCAGGGCAGCATCAAGTATACGACGACGAAGTGTAACGCAATGAAATTAATGGTGTGCAATTAAAAGAAGCTATTTTGAAATGCGTGCCCACCAAAAATTATTGGCGCCCTTATCTAAGCTCAAACGGATGGTCGACATACTGGTGGTGCCGCTTTCGATCTTCCTTTTCTTTGATAAGAATACGTTGTTTCTCTTGCAGTTCCACCATACGCGACTCTAATGAGTTAAGCATGCCTTGAAGCGGGTGTGGGACCTCTTCAACTTCTCCATCTGAGCTGCCGCTTTTAGATGCTTCGTTAATTTGTTCATCGTCATCTTCGTCAAAAAAAATTCCATGCCGCTCATCTTGGCTGCGCCTAGTCGACTTTGAGCTGATGCTATTATGTTGGCTCGGAAAGACATTACTCGTTAATGAGACCCCTTCGCTATCAAGGCCGTATTCTGGCTTTTGAGCTGTTTGATAAATAGCTTCTCTGGTCGAGTCAATGCCTGGAGCGATCAGAACGAGTTTCTCGAAGCCATCCAAAGAGCCATAGACTGCATTGATAGCAAAAATACGATTGGCTTTGACAAAAAAATCATTCCGTCACCTGATTACGTACGTTGTACAAATTGAGTTAAAATGTGCTGCACATCTGCAAAGAGGTCTAAGAATTCGATATCTGCAATAAAAGTATTGTCCTTCGATCAGTTACAAGTACAAGTACAAGTTCCTCAAACGCGATTTCATCGTGATGTCTCACAAATCGTACCTGATGTCAAGCTTGCGATCTTGCTGTAGAAGTCGACAATCTTGTTCGATCGATATAGCTCGATCGAGTTTTGCATGCACTGAAGAATGCTAAGCACCACTGTCTCCGTCCAAGGACACTGATTTGCAACATCTCTAACAAATGAAGCGGACTCTTCTGCTGAAAATTGTTTTGCAGGTTTTCTCACAGAGCATAGAGTTTGTCTCATTGGACTACAGGGCTCATTCCCAGCCGATGTAGCTGCTACATCTTTCGCAGAACTTGACAAGGGGACTCTTGAGCTTGTTCTCATCTTACCATGAGCTGCCGTTGTGTTCCGAAGTCTAGGTCGCGGCGACCAAGCTCTATTGTTTTTAGGTTTTTTATTGCGCCTGGAACAGAGTCGAAGACCTGATTAAATAGTTATGTAAGGCTCTCGTTTTTCGTTTAGTCGTTGTAGGAGGCAAAATATATCATGTACCGTACTCCGCGACTTCAGCGCCAGGTATCCGAGAGCGTAGGGGTCGTTGTTATCTGACCAATCTTTTTCAAGAAATCAGCTCAATATTCAAGAGAAATGGAAAAGAGTTGTTCTGAAAGCTACTTACCTGCAATAAATATTTTGTGCGCTACTGAGGCTGGATCAAAAATTGAGTCCGGCAAATCTAACGCACGTACTAATTAGAATAGCACAACCTATCAACATTTCGTACCATTATAGTCTCACTTGCTGCGCGAACCGTGGAGGCATTTTTCATAAACTTTTCTCGCATGTCAGCCAGCTTCTTCACACATGACCTATCTGTTCGGTCTACACATGTGACAGGGTGTAAGTAGACGTAAGACGAAACCGCAATAAACAGCAACTCACGTAAAGTCTCGGCGACATGATCCACGAGGTGAGAATATCCTGTCTTTTGGATCTGTGTCGTGATTCGAACGATAAAGTCAACAAGAGTCTCAATCTCGTCTGAGGACCACAACTTCGATGATTTATTTGATACTGTCACTACTTTCTCGTTTGGAAGTATCGGTGGCACATCGGTGAAAATGTCTTTAAGCAGCTCCAAACGCTTCGCTTCCATTTGTGTTGGTTCTTTTCGTTTAAACCATCAGTAATCACAATTCGTAAGATATTCAGATAGCAGATGCCGCGAAATTGAAAAACTTACGATAAGTGTGGTGCTTTTCATTCAAATATACTTCTCGCAGCGCGTAGAATTTACTTTTTGTTTCTTCAATCGACTTGCCTACCCAGAGAATGAAATGACATGAGTGTTTTCTCTCCCAGCATTGACCAACGAAAGTCGCCCACCCCACAACTGGACTTGCTTAAAAAACGTCTCCGGGTTAGCAGCAAAGTGTCCACGGTACTGCCTCGCTTTCAAACAGAAGCGGCCAAGTTCGCCTGGTAGCCACACACCACCTGCTCGATTCTCTGGCAGCTGACAGATCGACTCATAGAGATGTTCATACACGTATACTTGTTGTCCATGTGCTGTAATGACTATTGTCCATATACGACACAGATTGCCACTATTCAGTACCACACATCGTTTAATTCAATTTCAACCATACCGTCCGTTCGAAAATTCTTAGTGCTCAGTCGAAGCCCAAACTGCTTCATCAGTGCTCGAACCATGTCCAGAATTCTAGCTGCCGATCTGTCTGATACATGCAACAAAGCAGAAAGGAAGCATATGCATCGTTATGTCCCACGATTGATATTGTACTAGTGGGTATTAATTTGAATAACCTGATAGCTCCACTCGCACAAATTCAACAAACTGGCCGGCAGATCCATAAATATAATAGTGCAAGTGCTTGCGGAACAGCATCAGCAGCTGCAAGACGTCGTCATCGCTCCAGCCGTTAAGCCGCACAAACATCCTGAACCTTATAAATGATATTTGGAACCGTATTTTACTTGGTATTATATTGTTGATTATAAGTATCTAGCCAAGCTAAAAAATAGGGGAACTCTGCTATGTCGGACGAGGAGCTGAGCAACCATCGCGCACTCTTAATCCCCGTCAAGAACTCGGAACAGGCCGTTGAAGTGTTTGTAGATGAGCTACCGGACGATGTGAACGATATCATTGATATTTTACGCGCAGAGGTTGCGCCTCTCGACGTGTGGTTGCAATTTGCTGTCGAATATTATAATCAAGGCCACGTCGCTCAGTTTCAAGAGATCTTGGCTGTAGCATCAGAGCCGGGCATTGAGGAAATCTACAAAGACAATGCATCGCGTGTGTGCCGCATCAAATTCTTTATCGCGCTAGCTAGCCATGCTGTAAATGCCATGTGGAACGAAGAGGACGATAAGAAGCGTGAGGCCATTTCTCAGCGCGCCGTTGGCTTCTTTCAGCGTGCTGACCGTCTCGATCATCAGCATCCAATGACGCTTGTTGGTAAGGCGCTCATGTTTATGGCTAAAAATGAAGATGATCGCGCTGATCGCTTTATCAAAAGTGTTTTGATCTCAAACAAGACAAACCTTCCTGCCATTTTGGGCAAGGCGCTGCTGCTATACCGCAAGAAACAATACAAGGACGCAAAGAAACTGTATCTGGAGGCGATTAAATTGCATCCACGCAGTCCACAAGCTGCCAATATGCGCATGTGTTTTGCTTATTGTTGCTATCATTTAGGAGCTATCGAGAAAGCACGTGCCGTCATGCGATACACGGCATCATTAGATGAAACTAACGTGGACGCAAGAATTGCCAGCGCACTATGGCAACTTGCAAGTCAGAGTCGCGAAGAGCGTGCAGTGAGCATTCGAGACGAGAGCTCGCGCTTTATGATGATGATTCATCATGCTCATGCCATCGACAAGACAAATCCTACGGTCCTGAATCATCTAGCCAATCATTATTTCTCTCAATGGATACCACTACCGTGTACTGTGAGTGTCGTGCGTGGCTCTGCTTTTGTGGCTACGTCCAAGGATATTTCTAGTGAGGTCTCACCTGGTCAGATTATTTGTATCGGAGACAAGTACGTTGCGTACATTAGTCGCCAAGAAGATGCTGTCTCGTCGTCCGGACTGAAGCTTGATGGTCCTTACCGTGATGAATCCGCCACAGCAACGAACATTGCGCGAAAAGACTATGATAAAATGTTTACACTTGCCGGTAATGCTTTTCACAGTACAAAGATTGCTGAAATTCGTTCGGAAAGCTGCTATCTCATGGGACGTGGGTGCCACGCACAGGGTAAGTATAAGGACGCTTACAGCTACTACTTTAACGCCGGACGCTTGTGGCCAAAGTTTGTGCTTCCGTGGTTTGGACTTGCACAAATTTATTACGAGCGAAAGGAGTTCACAAAGGCTGCGTCGTACCTTGAAAAGGCGAATAAGGCGTATCCGGAAAATGTCGAGATCTTGTCGCTCCTAGGCGACGTATATGGTAAACTTGGTAAGAAGGATGAGGCTGTGGTCTTGCTACGTCGTGTGGTGGAATTGGAGCCGGGTAATGTGGAGGCGCTAATTGGAACGGCCGAGTTGCTCCACGCATCTCCCGAAAGAAAAGATCGAATAATTGCCATCTCATCGTATATTGCGGCAGAGAAGGTCATGAACAACGCTTCAGAGCGTGTATGCATGGAACTTTACGTTAATCTAGGTGTACTTCAGCAACGTGTTGGCAAATGTGCCGATGCTATCAAATGTTTTCGAAAGGCTCTTCAGCAGTTAGGCGATATCGACAATTGGAATGAGGAAAGCAAGTCTGAGAAGGCTGACGCTCTGAATGAAGATGTTTCGAACTTTAAGCCAACAGAGGCAAATGTTACAATTCTGTACAATATGGGTCGAGTATATGAGGAAATGGGGAATCGGGATTGTGCTCAGATACTATATAATGCGATCCTTGTAGTGTTTCCCAAGTATACTGATTGTTTGCTGCGTCTAGGCTGCATGCTACGGGATCGTGGCCAGGATGATGAGGCCATTCGGATGTTTGATAAGGTACTGGAAGCCGATCCTACCTGTGCTGAAGCCTCTTTGCTACAAGGTAATATTCATCTGAAAAAGCGTGAATGGGTCCTTGCTCAGAAAAAGTACGAGAAGGTGATGGGGATGCCGGGATTAAAGAACGATCCGTACGCTTTTTTGTCTATGGGTAATATCTTTATGAGTAACCTCGGAGAGAAGAATAGATACGCTAAAAACATGTCGCTGAGCGAAGTCTACTACAAGAAGACGCTGGCGGCACACCCTCGAAATATTTATGCTGCTAACGGATTGGGGATAATGATTGCTGAAAAGGGCAATTTCGAGCTTGCAAAACAGGTTTTCTCGCAAGTGCGTGAAGCGAGCCCCGACATGCCGGATGCTTGGATCAATTTGGCACATATTTTTGTTGCTGAAGAGCGGTATCAGGAGGCTATTCAGCTTTACACGGTTTGTTTGACCAAGTGTTATCAGGGACAAGATTTGGAAGTTCTTCTGTATCTGGCGAAAGCTTATTACGAGTCGAAGAACTTTCCAAGCTGCATTGCTACGCTGTCTCGTGGATTGCACATGTACCCAAACGACTTGCAGCTGTGGTACAACACTGGTCTAGCTCAGGAAGATTACGCTGTCATGACGCTTGGGCAGGAGACAACCGTCGCACGATCAGGCGGTGGAAATAGCGTACCTCAGCATCGTACAATGGCAGATGTACAGCGCGCCATCTTGGATTTGAAGCGTGCGCAACGTATTTTCCGCTTCTTACTTCAGCAAGCAGAAGCTAGCGGCAATTTGAGCTCAGGAGAGAAAAAGAAACACCACAACAACTTGCCATTTGACAAAGAAAAAGTTTCGGATCACGAAAAGTTTTGTGGTGACACTTTGACCAAAGCCAGCTATCATTTGGAGTTTGAGCGACAGAAAGAGGAAAAACGTCGATTGGAGATCGAAGCGCAGCGCAAACTCCTGCGTGAGTATGAGGAGCGTGTGGCTCGCGAACTAGAGGAAGCGCGTGTACAAGAAGAAGATTTGCGCAAGCGTCATGAAGGCATTCGGCTCAAGCAAGACGAACGATTGAAGAAGCTTCACGAAGGTTGGAGTGTACGTGAGCGTGAGGAAGAAGAAAAAAAGGTGGTGAAAAAAAGAGGAGGCAAGAAACGCAAGAAAGCGGAAAACGAAGATGGAGGCTTTATTGATGATGGTGAAGACGAGCTGGATGAGGATGAGGACACTTCAATGTCAATTGAAGATATGAAAAATCGCAACCCTACGATGAAAAAATTAGTAGAAAAGCGGATTAAACGCGCGCGTGCGAATTCTGGTTCGGATGACGATAAGGTGGACCCAACGGGTCTCTTCGGATCCGATTCAAGTGACGACGAGCAGGATAAGCCCTCAACAGACAAAAATGACGATAAAGTCGTTACTCAGGATCAAAGTCGTGAAGTTGAAAAGAACGAGCTCTTTGGTTCATCGTCTGACGAGGAGTAGATCGTCAATGTTTGATCATTTTACAGAACCGAAAATCCAGGCGTATTATAAAAACAAACTGATTTTGTACGTATGTTGGAGCAAAAAAACGTCGTCGATGGCTATGTACTCTGCTTTATTCGTATCTATGATACTGTTGTATCCTTGGTATCAACCACCATCACATGAGCGTTTCGATAATTTGTTGTGGCGTCATTGAAAATCTAGCAAGATTAGCGCAAGTAATGCTAATGGCACTGAAAAATGTAGAAAAATGAACCGGCTTCAAGATGCCAGAATAGCTTATAACTGTTTGATTCTGAAACCTCAAACCTCGAGTCTTACCCACACCAAATAAGCAGTTACTGTTACTGCTCGATGCATTCACTAAATAAAAGTCTAATGAATCCCACGTCACGCTATGCATACTCACGCAACGGAGATTTAGGCCGCGTCGACGAAAAGTGCTTAGTTCGCGTGCAGATCCCCACTGTCGACTTGTCCGATGTTGGTAAGGTACGTTATCACGTACGCATCACAAATATTCGCTCTGGGCAGGCATGGGAGGCCCCACGTCGGTTTTCTGAGTTTCTTCAATTGCGAAATGAGCTCATCGAGTTTTTTTTGAAGACTGACAAGAAGTGTCCAGGATGTTGCAACTATGAAAAGGTGCTGAATCTTTTCGAATTTCCGCGTAAGCACGTTTTCACTAGTGTCACGCATGTCGTGATTAATTACCGCAAAAAAGCGCTTTGCAATTTTATTGCACTTCTTGCCTCGCACACATTCACTACCACACCTAAGTGTCCGACATGCAGTGGTTTTCCTTTCACAAGCGTTCGCGACTGGCTTACGACAGGTATCGAGATCGATGTAAACGCTAACTCTGTCGGATCAATCTCAATCGAGGCTATTCGCGATTCAATCAAGGTAAAGGACTTTACAAATTACCATCCAGTTTCAAATGCCATGCCAGTCGACCAAGAGGGTCGTTTTGTGGGCAGCATCGCTCCGATTCCATTTGCTGTCAACGTTAATCCGACGAATCAAACAGACATCAGACGTCTCAACCCATCGCATCGTCAACCAGAACGTATCACGCAGAAGAAATGCATAAAGTCCCAGCTTTGTCACAGCGATGATCCTTTATCAAGTGTTCCGCTGTCGCCCTTTTGTGTGGATAAATGTTTAACACCAACGCAGGCGCACGGCGCACCGTTGCATGTGCAGGCGAGCTATCAAGGCGGCGTTGACAATAAAAGCGATGAAAAGCTAGACTCTCCCAATCTTGAGATTAGATTGCAACAAGCTCAGGTTGCGTTCGAACCTTCGAACAGCGATGGCTTACATATTTGCCAATCGAAGACTGTCGAAAAGGATCGTATTGAGACCAGTCGCAGCTCAATTGATGACAATGGCGAGCCTTCATCTGTACAACATCGCTCGGCCAGCATAATTGATACTAATGTTGTAGACATTGAGGACGATGAGGGGCTTAACATGGACTTTATGAATGTGGTTTCTGTGGTCCCGATCGCGATCGAATAAGTGTTGGAGACCATCGACGCAAAGCATTGAATAGGGCATTGTAAGGGTGAACCATAATTTAGCTGATGATAATGAACTTGTAAGAGCGCCTAGCAGCTAAAAGATCATGTAAGACGTAAATTATGCGCTCATTGTGCTGCGCTCTTAACCACACTTAAAAAAATTGCTTCTTAAAGCGACAGTGCACAATGAAGCTGGTTCTAAACTATGCTGTGCGACTCTAACTTCCGGCTGGCGTGCACGATGTGCGACAACCCACACTTAAAAATCGGCGTCCAAGGTAAATACCTGCTCTTCGGCAGCAACACCAACGCCAGCCTTCGAGTACTCGCCAACACGCTTTTCAAAAAAGTTCGTCTTACCTTGAAGAGAAATCATGTCCATCCAATCGAACGGGTTCCTCACATTGTAGATCTTGGATACACCAAGCGAGTAGAGCAAACGGTCAGCCACAAATTCTATGTACTGACACATGAGCCCTGAATTCATGCCTATCAACTCAACTGGGAGCGAGTCGCGTACGAATTCGCGCTCAATCAACACGGCCTCCCGTATAATTTCGTGTACACGACCTTCAGATAGCTTCGTGACTAGCTTCGAGTACATGAGGCAAGCAAAGTCCGTGTGCATACCTTCATCCCGACTAATGAGCTCATTTGAAAAGCTAAGACCAGGCATCAGACCACGCTTCTTAAGCCAAAAGATTGAGCAGAATGAGCCTGAGAAAAAAATACCCTCTACTGCAGCAAAAGCTAACAGCCTCTCCGGATATGAAGATACTCGTGGATCGCACCACTTAAGCGCCCAATGAGCTTTTTTTGTGACGCAAGGGATGGTTTCAATTGCACGCAATAGATGGTCCTTCTCAATCGCGTCCTTGATATACGTATCGATAAGAAGCGAATACACCTCCGAGTGAATATTCTCAATAGCGATTTGAAAGCCGTAGAAACAGCGAGCCTCTGGCACCTGCACTTCATTGCTGAAATTCATAGCCAGATTTTCATTGACAATTCCATCACTAGCTGCGAAAAAAGCAAGCACATGCTTAATAAAATAGCGCTCGTTGTTTGTAAGGCTTGCCCAGTCCTTAAGGTCGTGTACTAGATCGAGTTCCTCAGCTGTCCAGAACGAGGCTTCCGCCTTCTTGTACATCTGCCACACATCGTGTTCCTGAATGGGAAAGAGCACGAAGCGATTAGGATTCGAAACGAGGAATGGCTCTGGCGGAATCTCTCCATTAAGCTCCTTAAGCTTGAATTCGGACATTTCGAGTTGAGGCTCCGCTTTCACATTGACAGCCTTGACGAAACTATCCATGAATTGAGGGCGCAGCTCTTGCTCCGGCTGCTCTGGAGCTTTCGAGTGTTCTGACGAATTTGCGACCATAGTGGCTGATACAAAGACACCTAATTTAAAAGACGTCGCTTGTCAGAACGAGCGCCAATTTCGAAATGACAAGCAAACAAGCATTGCTTGGCGGGTAGAGTGCGCCACATCGTTGTCAACTCCCGCGCTTTTTTCCTTATTACGCTTCATCAATCCGATTTGACGGGTACCGAACACTGTGGAATAAGTGACACAAGTTAACAAATGCTTATCACCCTTTATTCCGCTACACCTGATGGCAGAAGAAACTGCCTGAACGCAAATCTATTCTTTACTCTGATCACTTATAAGAAAGATTGTCGTTGCAGTCATAAAACAAAGCCTGACGCAAGGCAATCCTGCCAACCTTACTAGACAAAATATGATGTACGCTTATCGTATGGAGAAAATTAATCAGTAAGACCGGTAGCAGAGATAGCTGCTAATAAATGAGTGCTAGCTGCAGCTTTAAAGTAGCAACAATGGACACTCGCCGCAGGAAATGTGAGACTCTGCCGTATTTTCCTATTCTTGAGCGATAAAACTATTAGACTGGAAGCGTCCACTAGAATGTATAGCTTTGTATCCGTATGCTGCGGAACTTCTGCATCCCAAAATTCAAACAATTTTAAATGTAAGCGAAACATTTAGAAAATTTGTGGTCAAAACTTGAACGTATGTAGCCCGTAAGCTGAATCACAGGGAAAGACAAGCTAGTACATATCACGCTGTGATGGAGATGACAAGTGACCGACTGAAAATTGAAGTGTACTGGGTGCAATGAAGGTATCCAGATATCCCACCTACAGAGTGACAAACTTGTTTGTTGGACAACTTGGCGTCCGAGCGGCTAGCCATGGACGCAGGTCGTTGGACAAAAGTGCGAGCAGAATCAGCGCTTTCAGCACGCTGGGCTGGGTGGCAAGTTTGACTGCTGGTTTGTAATTCCTTGGTGATGTTAACCATTGCGTCCGCCATTATTTCGGACGCAAGACAATGGTGAGACTAAAATTAGATCTCGAACTCATCTGCCAACCCCGGCAGCGGTCTACAGCTGGCAACGTCGTGATGGTCAATGATCGCGCATTTGTCGTATGATAAGCGTACGGGCCAGAATTGCCAGGTAAACCTCCATCGAAGAACAACAGATTTACTTAGGGTATGTGGTGCGGTTGGGGTGTCCGGAGCATTAAAAAAAAGACGATTTTTTTGTAGCAATGTCTGTACCCGGCGGGTCGATGCGTAAGGCGATGGTCGATGACATTAAGAACGTGCTAGATCCCAGATTGTGAAGTGCGATCGCTTGGTCCGTGGTGGACGTCGAAAGTGCTCCGACGCCAAAAGTAAATCGAGACTAAAGTCTTCAGTACAACTTGCTGCCATGCGATCTGGAGAACTGGGAACAAACCTGGTTGCGCGTCTTCGTTGATTTTATTGACGGGAAGATGAGCGCCCAATTGTGCGACAAACGCAAGCTGAATATGGTCGAGATGAATACTGGATATGGCACTGTCGTGCGTCGACCAAAGCCCAACCGAGTTCACCATTGTCTGGCCTTGGCACACGAAGCCTGTGTGGTCGAGCAGGATCACATAATGTGAGTGATTGATCCATCTGCAAGGCTTTGATTAAATTAATGAGTGGATCCACGATCCTGTTGAGTGGCTTTCTATCCACAAGGTCTTGAGCTTGTAAAAGCAGACTTTGTCGACTGGTGCTGTGTGTTGAGATCGTGAGTGTCACTCCAATCGACGAGTATTAGGCCGAAGCAAAGATTGATACTGATTGTGTTTGAGCTCCACTCGCTTCTGTATATCTCGCTCTCCTTTTCGTGTGTGACGAGGTGCGTCGATGAGATTGCACGATCTTCTGTTGGGATGCAAGGCGGATGTTCTCTAGATTGGCACGACAGGACGACGAAATGAGATCTATGACTTCTTCTGTCATTTCTCGATATCGGGGTCTTCTAAAGGGCGACCAGACTCATGAAGCAGGCTGTAAGAACAAAAATCACCGTTGCGAGGATACTGAAGACTGTGAGATTTCTTCTCCGGGAACGTTGAAGTTTGTGAATTGCGCTGAAAGCTGGTTTACTTTCGACAGCATCATTGATTTTGTCATTCCGCTTATCAAAGTCAAAAGGCGCGACCTCTGCGTTAGAAAGGGAGAACAAAATGCTGAGCACTCGTCTGCATCATGCGTTGTAGCTGCGATTTGTCGATATACCGTGAAGCCCGCGGAGGATAGTTTCGCAATTATTCTATCCTGACGGCTGCGACTGACCGTTGACATAGTGCAAAGCAACCCGTGAATCGAGCTGAGCTCACAAAGATTCGCCAACCGCTTAAGCGACAAACCAGCACACCGTTCTTCACCATTGTCCCTTTGCAGCGCTACAAGCATGAGCTCGGATTCAAGATGTGACCACAAAAGGATCTTTTTTTGCTCATTCACGCCCATCGGCGAGTATCTTCATCAGCCAGGGTGCCATGCCATGCGCAGTTGCGAATAAACCGCTGCATGCGCTCGATGAGAGCTGCAATAGGCCAACAATGATGAGCAGTTTCAGAATTATCACGGACATGAGTTTGCTGGAGTAAGTCGGCTGTCTATATTTACGCAAGATGGGGCCGTGCTCTGAGCTGCTACAACGTTTCATATACGTGGAATGTTTTGGATGCCATTACGCAAGTCGATCATTTTCAACGTCCAGCAGCATTGCAAGGCAATTTAGCGACGAGTTCGTTTCGTGCTTGTTATTGCAATGCTGACGAATTATCGACTACTTCATGCCGGGCACGAATCCATACTTCGTCGCTGTGACCAGTTTGGGAACCGCTGGAATTCTTAAGACAAAAACCTAGTGTACAGCTTGTGATCCGTGTTCAGGAGTGCAATCAGTCCACTGGTCCAAGCCTGTTGTCTGGATGCAGAATACGGATGCTGCGCAAAAATTTGTGGAAGCGTGCCAGTGGATATCCAACTCGTGAAAAAAGACGCAATACTCTCAGTCACGGTTGTAGCAAGCTCCCGTAATCAGCCATTATAGATCTTTGCCAGGGTCACAGACATTATAATCTCACACGCTTTGATTGCGTCGACGACCTGCTGGATACTCATCGATATATGATGGAGCACCAGTCACTGGCAATTTGGTCGGAGGCGCAGGCGCTGGAGTCTGCAAGCGGCGGGATCATGACTGATCGTGGCATTTAGTTTTGGACCGAGACTTGGCTAAAGAAGGAAGCGCTGGTTTATTCTTCCATCCGGTAAGCTGGTTTAGACGCCAACGAAGAATACGCGCTGTGCCTTAGGCCTGGAGAGATATTTATGTCCGTCAAATCTGGCGATACGTCACGACCAAATCGACGAAAAGACCCCCCATTCGGAAATTATCAATGTTATCAATACTGGATCCGGCCAGGCTTGCTTGGCATCACGAAGACCTTCATGAAGTGTTGTATCCTACTCCTGTATCAAGCTGATGCAACTAGAATACTTCCGCTTTGTCGCTAGACAAGATGTTGCAACTCGACCTTGGTGATATTTCATGCTGTTGCGGACTCGCGCGACAAGAGTTGAGCTAAGTGAAGATTCTAAGCTTAAAGGACTTGGTTCTCACGTTGAGCACTCTCTCCTTCACACACCGCAGAAGCAAACCGGATCCTAAACGTGGCCTGTTCAAAGGGCTGCTTGCGCGTGTTATATATCGTAGCGCGAATATCTCAATATTATGGGTCGAGCGTTGCAAAGGCGGTAAGCTGTCCATCCTTTGCACTTGGCCAACGCTGTTGCTAGCACGTGTAAGCTATCTAGATGAGCTGTTGTGGGATTCCATTACGTCCGGTGTGCACAAAGATGTGGTCATCTGCTTGAATAGAAGCAGCATCAGCGTCAAAGCGTGCGTTGGCAATATATATATTGATACCGCGTCCACCTTCGCCAGCATTTTGGTAGCACGTCAAGTTCAGTGATAAGCTCAAGGTCATCGAACGTATCGATTTCAAAGTGGAAACTTGAGTTATAATTGCTGCTTCTGATGACTATTTTTGTTGGAATCGTTGGAATGTGAGTTGTCAGGAATATTCGTCCCGCTTGCATCGATCTGTACTGCCATCGATACCACCCACGAACCATTCAGGGCTTCTTGAACGACGATAAAATGCGCGAACCAGCGGTCCTATCGTCCGGTGTCACGTTTCATTCCCCGACTGGAGACGAAGAAGCAAGACGAAAGTACGACAGGGTTCCGCGAGTTTTTCGGAGACAGATCCACAATGCGCGCGCATATCGGTTCTCGAGCGCCACTTATCAGCCCGTTGTTGCATGCGTTTCTTGTTACGAGATCTTTCGGATTGGTTGCTCGAGCTGTGATACCTGGAGGTACCAATCAGGTATGCTCAGAAGCAAGGTGTTCAACCAAGGCTTGGACATTCTGGGTGACCAGTCGTTAGTGTGGAGAGGAATGAACTGACGGCCGCGCTGATTGTGGCTTTAGATGGTCCGTGTGGCCCTTGGTGCAATCGTGTTTGAGCAGCCCTGATCGATGTACTGGTGCGGCGAGACGTTGACATCGTGGTGACAACATAGCCTTCAGTCCGTCGTCCAGCTGAACACTGGGCAATCCATCTCAAGCTTTGCCTTGTTGGTGATCAACAGCATAGTATGTTAGTAAATTTTGTTTACTGGCCATTGCGAGACAGTCGATGCACGTGTGTCAGTGAAGTCGCAAGTCATGAAGAGCAGAGTTTGTTTCCCAGTCATTTTCACGCAACGGCGTCACAGAGCGAATATTCGTGTGGTCTTCGTGGGTGACTGCAATGGCGGCAGCAACTAGTCGCTTTACTCATGCATCGTAGGTTGCGTGTCGTCTATTATCACAAAACGCGGATCGGCGCCTCTGGTGCTTGTGCAAGAATATCATTCCGCGACATGGTTATACCGCGCCCACAATCCCCGCATAGGTGCGCATCTGAAAATATTTATCTGCACGTGCATTCCTGCAGCGCGCGCCGAGTGGTGAACACTAAGACATATGCTGCAAGACACGCCGTGATCCTCGCGTGTGTTGTATCTTACATGACCTTGAAGTGATGGTTGCCTCAATCTCAGCCGTGACAGCGGTTTGACTAAATGTTGCTTGCCAGCGTGGTTGAATGAAATTCGGTTTATCGAGCTAATATACCTTGGCTCCTGAGACTATTCATCGATGTCTCTGACCTATCGATGTCAAAGCTCTGAAGTTGCCGACGTGGAGAACAGAAATATCGTGTTACAACTTAGCGTGTCGGCACGCAAAATGTTTTTAGTGGGGTAATTTGTGTTACCGTCGTATCACCAAACAATAATGCAAAATTGAGACAACGCGTGCGCTGCTGGGTATAAACAGAACGCAGGAGAACGAGTGTTATGTTGAATTTGCAGCGAATGGTGACAGCCTCGTTCAGCAGTTTCTTAATATTTGCAGGTAGACGTTGATCCCTTCTCCAAACTTGTAAGTGCAATTGTGGTTAAAATGCAATAACCGCCTTTTTTACAACGTCGACGACGGCCGATAGTCGCCGTCACGTCGGGTGATTGCAGGTGCTGCTGCACAATCGTAGCGAGTTTAACCAAGTCAACACAACATACAACCCGTCCGCCAGCTGCACAGAGATGAGATTCACACTTGAGTGAGGCTCTCACGCATCTCGGTTGCTGCCCGAGAAGAGGAGATGGTTTCCATTTCGGATGCCGGAGACGGAGCCGCTACTGCAAGCTGCTTGCGTCGATCAATGTAGCGGAGATATATGCGCCGATCGCGAAGAGGTCACTTTGCGTCACCTTGTGTTTCTACATGGCTTGGAGCCGCGTTTTGTTTGATAAGATACCGGTTATGCCCGCTCTGTAAAATTTTTTCGAAGTAGGTGCCATATTTGTCTTCTCCCTGTCGTGCTTCTTCATCATCCGCATTCGGTAATGGGCTTATCGGTGTAGAAAAGTGGGATAAAACCATCGGGTTATCCACAGCTTCTGTCATCAAAGAAGCTGCATACTCGGTCGATTTTGAGATCAGGT